GAGGAAAATTAGCTGATTTAAAGTTTAATTAATTTGAATTGAAACAAATAGTACGTTTTTTTTAAAATATCAGAGAAAAGCATAATTTTTTTTTTAACACAGAGGGGTTGTTTCTCTGATGTATTGAGTGATTTATTGACAGCCTGATATTTGGGAAATTTAGTAAGAGGAACAGAACTGAAAGAAATTACTTGAGTACAAAGAGAATGCCTTTTTTTTATATATTTATTTATTACACAGTAATCTTGAAAATTTAAGAAAATATTTTAAGCAATCTAATATTTTGTTGAATTTTAGGTACTGTGGTTTCATAGTCTTCTTAAGATGCTTGTTTAGAAAATTATCAATAAACTTAATTTATTATAGGTACTTCTCTTATTGTTGGATAATGTTGTGCATGAACATCCGTATTTACAAAAATCAACGTTTATGCACACAAAATAAATATTCGTTTTAAAATACTGGGGGAGGGTCATTGAATTGCAGTGAGCTTTTCCATTTATGATTAGTAAATTAAACAGTTTTAATTTAACAATATCACTTGACAGATACAGAATTTTAAAAGATTTAAGAAATTTAAATTGTATATAAAAAAAATTTAAAAACAATTCTTGTAAAAATTCAAGTCATCAATTTTTTTTTTAAAGACACTAAGTGTCCATAATATTTTATCCGTAAAAAAAACAAAAAAACTAAAGCTTTTCTAATTAAAAAAAATAAATGTGTTGTTTTATTTTACTATTCAAGACAGATTTTCTCCAAGTGGATGTCTTGTTTGACCAAAAAGCTCTTCTTGACGATTTATTTTGAATTCTCCGATGACTTGTGCTTAGCAAATAAAATTTTTTTAAAATCTTTTTAAGTGACACAAAAAAAAAAAAAAAAAAAAAAAAAAAGAATTTCTCTAAATTTAATAAAAATGAAATGAGTGGACTAGGAGAGGGGTAACAGATGAAAAAAAGAGAAAAATGTTTTTACAAAGATTTTCTAAAAAAAAAAAAGAAAAAAAAACGTTTCAAAATTTCCGAATAAATAAAATAAATTTCATTAAAATTCGATAATTTGATTTTCGCAAGAATTTCCGTATCAAGAAAAATCAAAACGCTCAAATTTCTCGTACAAATTTAAGGTTACCCGTTAACGCCCCCCCCAACAAAAAGATGCTTAAATAAAATTTTCAATGTTCTCTCACTTTTAGTGAATTTTTGGGAAGGTACCTACACACCTATTCCTTCTTAATCTTCTTAGTTAGATAATAATTTAAAAAAAAAAAAAAAAAGATAACTAGGGTGGGACGTAAAAAAAGTCAAAGAAGGGGTTCCCAAATTAATGTTTGGTCAATTAGTAAGATTTTAGGAAATGGATTGGGCTAAGAACACTTCACTATTATTCCCCATAAGCTGAAAACAAACTTTTAGAGCGCACTTCTTTTGCTGCAAAAGTTTTGCAACATTTTTTAACCTACTGAATTACTACTAACCGCTGAACATCATGATGAAATATTTTCTCTTGTCTTACACAGTGGATAAGAAAGCAATATTGGGTATTATTATTTTCATAGGCGATTATTTTTATTTCAATAAAAGAATTTTTGTACCAACACCTAGGCTAAATTACGATTTCGTTTTAAGAAGTTGAAATGAAAAAAAAAAATGATAATCGCAGCAAAAATTTCAAATTTCCACATTTTTTAAGTATCAAGCAAACATAAGATGAAAAAAATCGCATGTGTGAAATACTTCAACTGATAAAATGAAAATGATTTACAAAAAAAAAAAAAAAAGAAAAAAGAATGATGTACTGATTGACCCAATGAATTTTGGCTGTGTGGCTAGTGTTTCAGAATGACACTGAATAGTTTGTTTCATTTTCTAAAATACCTTTTGTTGTATTTTTATTTCTGTTTCACAAATTCTAAGTTTAATTTTTTAAGTTCATACTTACCTTTTTTTTTTTTAGTTAGATGACTTACAAAAAACCCACACACCCTTGTTTAATAACCTGCTTTTTCTAAAATTTAAATTAAAACAAAATGAATCCTTAATTTTATTTTTCTATCTCTGGATCTCACTGGCATTTTTGTTTCAAGTTCTTTTTTTTTTTTTTGTCCTTCTCACTTTCAGTGAAGTTTTGTCGAACTGAGGGTTTTGACTGGAAGGAAACCAATTATTTCATGAAACAACAATTAATTTGAAGTTAAAACTAATTTGATCTGATTAAAAAAAAAATGTTTTCGCATGGAAGGGGAGGGAAAAGTGGGATTTTTTTCACGAAATTTAAAATATGACAATTTCATTTTTTATGGATCTTTGTTGTTTGTTCTGTGAACTACCATTTCTAGATCTTTTTGTTAACGGACTTGCAAACTGAAATGCTTAAACTTAAAACTTTTTAAAAGGAAGCTGATAAACACTTTTTTTTTTTAAATCCACGTTATTGTCATGTCCAAACCAAAGAACTCGATCAAATGACCAAATTACTTGCTTCTTCAAAACAAGTCTTTTTAGAATAAAAAGAATTATCATTTAAAATGGCAAAGAATATTATTTTTTTTAATGTTCTCGTAAATCTGAATTCTTACTATGAACTGTTAAAATAAATATCAATCCATAAAAAACAGTAACAAAAACAAAAACTTGTTTCATCAGTGAAGTGAAGAGAGTTATCCATCATCGACATTTTTTTAAAGTTAAACTAATTCTTTTTTAATGAAGAAATTAAAAGTGAAATTAAATAAGCACAATTTTAATTTAATTTACTACAGGGACTTTTTCTTTACTTTCATATTCACATTCTCAAACTAAAAACTTTCTGATAATCTTTGTTTGTGTGTGTTTGAAATTTGTGAAAAAAGTTTGTATGTCACACTGTTGTGTACACGTCTTACAAACTTCGAATTGAAATCTCAATCACTCTCCTTAAACCCCAATCAAAATAAAAGATAAACAATTGATTGAGTTCAGAACAATACAATATAAATTAGAAATGAAATCCCAAGCGCAAAAGAATTCAGAACTGCTTCAAACAAAAGAACCATTTTTTACCTAACAATTGAAAGCTGCTAAAAATTTCTCGTTCGTAAAGCTAAAATAAATAAATCTTCACAATAATATCCTAAAATTGAAGGAAACATCTAACAAACAAGATTAATTAATATTTATTTACTTAAAGTTCTTAGCTATTGATTGACATATGTGCGTGCGTTTTTTACCTTTTTCTTTTTAAAAAAAAAAAAAAAAAAAAAGGTACAAAATTTGTCGGTGGAGATGTTAAAAATTAAATAAATGCAAAGTGAAAAATACGTGCACTATACTTTTTTATTGGTTATTTAGATTAATAAAAATGATTTACTTTAATGAGGAAAAGAAAGTTTCTTTAAAATAAAAATATCACACATCAAGTCAAAATCACAGTTGACCACTTCGTTATATCAAAAACACTTTCTTTCAAGCAAACTATTAGTATTAATAGTTTTTTTTTTTTTTACTTTTTAACTTACCGATTAAAATTAATTGTTAATTAAATTTAAATAAAATAGAAACTAGAAGCTAAAAACTAAAAATGATTACAAAAGGAAATGACAGTTTTTTTTATTTATTTTTAATTTTAAACAGTTGCTTGTTTTTGTTTTCTCACATTCTTTAGAATTTTAAAATTTGAGGTGTTTTTAGTTTTTATTTTAACAGTGTTTGTACATTTTCTAAGTATAAAAATAAAACTAGTACTCATTTTTGTGAACTAATTTTTCTGCATTTTAAAAAGTCAAGTTAAAAAATACTTAATTTTTTCACAAAGGTTTTTCACATTTTAAAAGTTTGATGAAAGAGCTGACAATTCGAAAAAGTAATTTTTCATTTTTAAAGGAATTTTATTTTTAAAATGTTCTTGGTCAATGTTTACTGTTTTTGTCTATATCTGAAGTAAGTATTCAAATTCAGATCTCGTAAGATTTATAGTAAAATAAAATTTGTCTTCTGATGAACAGTAACAGGTTTAGTGTTTGAATTTGACAGATGTCTGATTATTTTTACCTATTTTTGTAAAAATGACTGAATATTAAACGTACAATAATACATATTTTGTTTACATTTGAAAAATGTAAATTGTTTATACTTGAAAAATATTATTCTGAAACTTTCAAAATGTGTGATTCATTTTTTTAATCTTATATTTATGTCTCGCGCAAATTGTACTTTAACATCTGATTTTGTTTCGTCTTTTCAGTTTTTAAATCTTTTCGAGGTTGTAGAGACAATAAAACAGAAACAAATATATACAAGCATTTAATTCTAAATAATTAGGTCGGAAACACTTGAATTCGCAAAATGTTCGCGAAGTTGTCAAGAGATTTTTCAAGTTTTCTTGTCCCCAGTACGAGTTACGAAGAAGATAGCAGCACGTGATCAAGTATCAACTTGAAACCTATACTTAAAACAAAGTTCCCCCCAATAAAGCACAATAAATGTTGTGAAATTGTTTTTGCATGTTTCGGTAAATAAAATAAAAAAATTCAAAAGATAAATGCACAGGTTTTTTGTGCTTGTCTATTTTGCAAAACCTTCGAAATTAGATTATAAAATATTTTTAATTTTAAAAAGTTATAAAATTAAGAAAATACATTTCACAAAATTATATTAAATAACACGCTTTTTTTAATTTCACAATTGTTTGCCACTGATAAAAATACAAGTAGACTAAAAAAACTTAAATCGGTATTCATTCATCGACCTGTTGTTTAAGATTTTGTTAGTTAAAATAAAAAAAATAATTGTTGAATAGAAGCTTAAAAACAAGAATTTCAAAACTTTTTTTTTTGCATAAAAAACTCTGAATAAAATAAAACAAGTTCAAGAAAAATTAGGGTTGCGCAAAAAAAATGTTTAAAAGCAAAAATAACGGCAATTGAAATTACATAGAATAAAGGGAGAAAATATAGATTTTTAAAATATTTACAATTTTACATCAATTACATAAATAAAGTTAAGAAAGAAAAAATTAACCTCTTCAAACTTGAGTTCATTGTACTTGATTTCTTCAACAAATCCAATAGATTGATCCATGGTGGGTTAGAAACGTATTGTTTTTGTTTTGAATCTAGAACAAGACTCGAATCTCCCTCTTTATTACTAATATTTTAGATATATATATACATGAATACCTATTTACATACATAAATGCCACCCTAAGTCGATGAAGAGAACCTCAACGAAGTGGGCAACATCTAAGAAGACTTTTTAAATCCTTTGCCTACAGCAATAAATCGACATGAAAGGGAGATCACACCTCACCAACCATCAACATTGAAAAAACTAACAACATCCTTCTACCTCTTCTTGTAAAATTAGGGTCGATTCTCCAACCCTCTCTTGAACGTTATACAATGCTTCGTCTACTCACTCTTATTATTTTTCTTACGACTCTCTTTTTTACTCTCTATTTGAGTTCTTTTCTCTGCTACTACTACTCTCTATATTAGTGTCAAACGACAACCAGTTGTTCTCCCCACCACTACCACTTTTTGTGCTTCTATTTCGCTTTCTCTTTATTTCTCCACTTCTTTTTTTATCTACTTTCTTTCCTCTACACTTTTAGCCTTAAAGATAATATAGTACAATGTATATAACAATTATTTTGTGCATGCATCATATGATTTGTTTATCATGAAATTTTCTTTAATTCCACGTTTCATTTTTAAACTAAAAAAAAAAGCTATTCGATGATTACAGAACACAAAGCGTAGGTTTTCGTTTTACTTTCTCATATAGCTCAAGTCAACATTCATCAATGTAACTGTTCTTAACCGAGTGTCGGCATATATGTTCTGCTTCCGCTAGACAATTTATTGCACATTTTTTTCTTTTCTCATTTAATTCTTTCAGTATCTTTGGTTCCTTTATTTTTATACGACAAAACAATAAAAGGGAAACGACTACGACATTCCGGAAGTTAGAGAAACCGGAAGCTTTATATTTGAAGACTCTTCAGTGAGAAGAAATAATATAAAGTAGGTAGACAAAAGTATGGAAAAACGTTAGCGACATATTAGAAAAATATGAGAGAGAAAAAGAAAATATGGCGAGAGAAAAAGAACAAAGCATTAAGAATTGTATTTTTTTTATTGCTACGAATTTTTCACTTGACTAAAGAAATAAATGTATTTTGCTTCCATTTCATTATTTAAATTATGTACACAATAGTTAATGAAGTGCAGCAGCGATTGGTATGTATGGATGGGCGTAATTGAAAAAATAATTCTCTATATTTTTAATGAAAAACTACCTTTTTTAATTATTTTTCTTATACCTCTAATTGGGATATGAAAATCAACTTTTAATTTTAAAAAATCAAAATAAAGAACTAATCATATCATGATACCACCAAAATGGATGAGTTTTTGTTTTCGTTTTTCTTTTTTTTTTTAAAAGAAAGCAAAAAGTCTCTCTCTCTCTCTCTCTCTCTCTCTCTCTCTCTCTCTCTCTCTCTCTCTCTCTCTCTTTCTGTTTTAAAATATTTGCAAAAAGTCCGATTCAAACGAAATTTTCAGTACTTATTCGATAATGAATGAATTATATACTGAATGAGTTATTTTATCAGAAAACACTGGTAATCTTTTTTGGAGGTAGTCTGTTCACCACCCCCCCCCCTCCAAGCACGCACACGTTTTTTTTTTATATTTTGTGTAGCTTTTTTTAATTTTGCTTTGGAGTTGTTCGCGAATTTTTTTTAGTTGCATGAAAAAAAAGCCTTAAGATGCTATTTCATTAAAAAAAATATATATACATGAAAATGAAATGAACATAATGAAAATTCGTCCCGCATCTTACCAAAGATAATTCAATAAAATTCAAAAAGTATTTTTTTTTAAATTCATCCCGTTTGTGTTCGTCATAAGAGTTTCTTTTATTAAATAAAAAAATGTAAAGTTTAATGCCATTTTCGACTGAGAACATTTTTAAAAGATTTTTTTTCTTTTAATAGCGGTTACATTATTTTTCCTATGGATGTCCAAAAGGAAATAAAAATGATTTTTCACTTTTAGATTTAACCGTATAGCAGTGTGGCGCTTAGGAGATAAAATGAACAGTTGATTTCCTCATGACAAGAAGATTAATGAAGGATGACAATGACTAGGAAATACACAGCTAATTTTAACAAAACAAGATAAGGAATCTATTCACGAATTTACACACTTGAAGTTAGTGTCAGTAACTTGTTTCAAGAAAATAAATCAGAATTCTTAAAGGCCGTAGTTTTAACGTATTGTAACGCGGAGGAAGTGTTCATACAAGAGATTAAACGATCTGACACAAAGTAAGATTAAAAAAGTGTTTAAAACAAAGGTAAGATAATCCGTTACTCGTCGAAGGAATATATGGTTTGCATAAGTTCAGAAGTAGACGAAGAGAGATAGTTTGAAATGCATAGGTTTCTTGGATTGTTGAGAGAAAATTCATTGAAGTGCTTGGTTAAAAGGCCGATAATATAACTGGAGAGTAATTTGACGCTGGCGAAAACTTCCACTCTGGACGTGGTAAACAAAACGAAACCTTTCACATGACTTCACTCTCCTCATTAATTTAATTGTTCTTCGTATTTTATATAAAAAAGAATTTCGCGTAGGCTTGCTTCTTTCTTTCCTTCTTTTTCTTGATTCACCGGCTAATTCCTGTGAAGACAAGGTTTTCATTGGTCCAAAAACAATTTCTCATAGACTTGCGAATGTCTTTCCTTCTTCTCCTCAGCTCACCGGTTAATTTCTGTGAAAGGCAAAATCTTTCATAGGCTTCTTTCGTCTTCCTCAGTCCTCCGAATTTGAAGGGAGTTATTATTATTTTGCACTCACTACATCAATTCTACTAAGTTTCATATCGCATATAAAATTTTTTAAAAATGCATTCTTAAACTATTGGTTATATAGGATTATAATAATTTTAGGGACAAAATAAAAAGCCAGTGAATAATAAAGAAAGGACTCAAAGTGAATGCAATCAACATTATCAATTCAATAACTCTATCAATTTTTTCGATTTTTATTTATTTTTTATAGTAGCAACTCCATTATTTTAATACATTTTCTTAAATTCAGAATAACTTTGTAAAATCATATTGTGTGCAATTATATATCTTATGGCATGAAATATCTAAGAAAATAATCAAAAAATAAAATCAATGAATTAAACTCAAAATATAGATAAAAAAAAATAACTGCTATAAAACTATGTTTAAAAAATAAATTAAGTTCAAAAATTATGTTTAATAAAAGCATATAAAATAGAGAAATTATATTAAAATATTGGTTATATAAGGTAAAAGAATTTATTTTTACAAATAAATACCAATTTCTTGACATTGCTGATGTTTCTTTAATTTCAGTTATTAATTTTTCGTGCGCTTTTTAAAAAAAAGTGGGTATTATTATAGTATTTTTGATTTAACCACTGACCCCACCAACACTTGCACGTAAATAAACGTTATTTTCATTAAGTTTTAGATAAAACGTAAATGTAATCCAGTTGATTAATCCTAATAAAATACTACTTCGATTCATATCTCTAGGACAAATATTGAATTTTTAACAGATTTTTAAATCTTCTGTTTACATTTTTCGTCTACAATGGCGTTTCGGTAAATGACAAATGAATGTGCAAATTATTTTTAAAATGTCTAAAAACTTCAATTACAGACGGAAATTATTTTTTTCTTTTAATACGAATTAAAGTCCACGGCGGTACCTAATCAGTGTTATGTAGCAAGACTTTATTTTATAAGGAGCCTTGTTGGAATTTAATTTGGGAACAACAATTTCACAAGTTCACATTCTCGTTATTTTTTCTATCCACACTCTAACCTCTTTTTAATTTCAAAACCGGTTCCCAAGGCTTTCATTCTTATTAGAGATAAGAATATATTTTCTGACTAAGGAGAGAGCTGGAAAATAAAAAGGAATTCCACCACCATTATTCTTTCCATGGAGCCATAAAATCTGGGAGAAACCTCACAGCTTCTTCACTTCAACCTGTCTTCAGTACCTTCGAAACCGGCTCCCAGGGCCCTGATTCTTATTAAAGATAAGAATGTGTTTTCTGACCAATAGAGGGGCCAGGTAATTTGTACAACAATTTTGGAGGGAAAAATCCCCGATCCATCGGAGCCTCCCAAAACTCCATAAATTTGGAGTATCTTGCCTATTTAGACAATGAGATTTCCCCCCACCGTCTGTGAGGTCGACATTAGGAAGCTCCAGCACCTCTTTCACCAAAGAAGAACTACTAAAAAGGGCTGTCAAAAACGAACGTCGGTCCACTATTCAAGACCAATCCAAAAAGCTGCATCCCTTCACTACTCCTTCTGACAAGCCCACTGGACTTCTGTCGTCGACCAAAAAAAAAACTCACTCAGCTGCAGGCTTCCTTCATCTGCGAACAAATTTCCAACTTTACAAGAACTGTGAGTGTTTCTATCAGAACTTTAACAATAACATCTAATCGCTTAAAGAACTCTTTAGGCGCTCAAAGAAATATTTTGAGCAAGCCTTTTTAAGTTAAGAACATTTTCTCCTTTTCCTTTCTTTCTCTACTAATCGTCCTTTTTTTTTTTATCCCTTTACCTTTTTTTTCTGTATATGTTGTAAATAAACACTTTTTTCTTTTGTTGTTACTCACTGATCAGGAGTTTTTTCTTTATTCGTACGCGCCTAAAAGAGAGAGTTTGTCCACTCTAATCTTGCAGTTTTACTTGCGTTTTTTTGCAAAAAATTTAAACCTCAACCCTATTTTTAACCTCAATCCTTTGATGCGGGAAAGCCGGGACAAATTTCCTAGCAGCCTCTTTCCTTATTTTCTCTCTCTCTCTCTCTCTCTCTCTCTCTCTCTCTCTCTCTCTCTCTCTCTCTCTCTCTGTATATATACATATATATCATAGTCATCCACAGACAGACTGTTTCTCTGGATCACAGCTCATTAGTGTGGCTAGATATTTTTGTTGTCTTTGTTGTTTTTTGTTTTGTTTCTCTTGTTTCTTTTCCTATTTTTTAATGTAAATGAATCCATCTGATATGCCATTCAACTCAAGGTTATATTATACAGAGAGTCAAAAAATTATCCGGTTCTCGTGGTCATTATATCTGACCTTTTACCGAAATGATCTTGGTTTCAATACATAGGTCGAGGACAGTTCCAGAAGATTAGAGGTAAAGGATGTAAAAGAATGCGCATGCTACCTGAAAACAAAGTTCCATATTACCAAAGCAAAAACAATTTTAATAAGTTTAACAGCACTAGTAACACAACATTTTGGTTAACACTCATGTTATAACGAGTGTATGGTTGCAGAGAAAAGAACAAACAAGGATTAAAATTTCAACAGCGTGTATTGATCAATTTTCAGAATATCTAGATAGATGTACGAAAATGTGGCAAAATTGTTGATATGTGCTTCTTTAGTTGTCGTTGGTAAGCAAAGCGATTAGGTGTGAAGGTTTTGTTGGTAAGACCATAAGTTGACGGATTTGTTGGGTTGATTGATCGAGGTCACAGTTCGTGTCAAGAGAGAGGCCTGGAGTGGATTAGTGAAGCCGCGTGGTTACACGAGTGGGGTGTCTTTGGCGGGGTTGATCTATCTATCTCCAAGGTTGAAACTGACACCGGTGATACGTGTGGATGAACCGGCGATCATGCTACGAGGTCGAGGTGTTAAGCCAAACTGCCTGTTGCCGGCGAGGCGTACATTTTTATATATGGCTCCAAAACTTATCCATTTTTTTATTTGCGGCAACGTTCGTGATTGGCTATTGTATTCAAGATTTTTGCGGGGATTTGTTTTGTAGGCCTGATGTGATGCTCGGAGCCCCTGGGCAGAAGCCGACTTTTTTTTATTTTGGGTTTTGCTTTCTTAGCGCTCACATCCGGCTGGCATGTCTAGTAAAATGTATTTGCGAATTGGAAAGAGTAGTATAACACTTAGCACAAACTTTACAAGCTATCAAGACTCCCCTAATCACATCCACTGAGTTGGGTTAGTTTTTAGGTTTTAAAAAAATGGTAAAAACGTGTCACAACGGAATGACAAAGCTGCCTGAAGCTCTAAAAATATATTTTGATCTTAATACGTCATCTCATAGTCAGAGTGTAATTGAGTGTCCGGATGAACATTATCTTTACTACACATACAAATGCTATTAAAATGATAGCGAGATAATTTCATCCTCCGATGTAATATTTTATCATATTTTTCATTATTCCTGCCTATTAAACTGGTTCAAGATTGGTCCCCAAGCTGACTTCAAGCTATGGTGGAACCTTCCCGCCATGCAATTTGCTTCAGGATGATAAGCAGTGGCACAGATTCTCTTACTATACAAAAATTTCATCAACTGACAGAATAAATCAGATTAAAATTGCCGACCTTCGTTTGTGGTAACAATAGCTGCAACACCAAAACGAGATACTCATAAATAATTAAACGGCTTTGAAATAACATGTGCAGAAATGTCCGCCCTGGGGAATGCTTCGCATCAGTTGGGTAAAAAAAAACGATCAGTTAGCAGGTAGGGGGTCCTATAATGTCGACGTACACATGAGTGAACTGCTCATCATGTTAACAGAAAGAAATTAGGAGGCGTGCAAGTGCGCATTCTAATTTTAGCATTTTGACATTGAATGCAGGTCCCAAGCTGAATATATGACAATGCACGACCAAATAAATATGTCCGTGACTAGCCTGAGAGAAACATTACCACCGGGGTGAGACAAAGTGCGAAGATAAAGGTACGTCTCAAGAAGCAGGAAATTTGGGCGACCAGTATTGGTATCACGCAGGATTTTTAGGTTGCAGTGAGGAACATGAATTTTAGCACGTTTCAAGGACGAAGAGATATTCAAGAAAATGATTTTACCTGAGGATCCTTCACTCGTCCTTAACAAATGATTGCTATTCCCAGAGCCAGATTAAGACCCGCGGGCGTCCTAAGCAGTTAAAAGATTTTGGGCCCCCATACATCTGCGAATTAGGTATGCTAGCATGGAGTCTCAGTAAGTAGTGCCAAAAAAAAAAAAAAAAAAGACATCAACCGTATGTTGAACGTATGTTGTAGAAACGCCACCCGGAAATAAATATAGAAAGAACCGAACGCACATACGACCATCGAGATCATCAGTTTCAACTCAGAACAACATCACTGCACCGAGTGCCTGGTCGAAAGAACCAATTGCAGCTAAGCAGCCACTGTCAAATGAGCCACGATCAGATTCTAACAGAATTGTAACCAGAAGTGGTTGTGCAATCAACAAACCAGCATGTTTGTAGTGAGTGCGAAATAATAAGAACTCCCTTTGTCCACTTCGGATGACTAAAGAAAAAGACGGAAATGAATTCGCGAGCCTATGTGAAATTTTCTTTGGAACAATGAAAACCTTACCTTCACAGAGATTGGTCGGCGAGCTGAGAAGAAGACGGAAATAAATTTGTGGGGCTATGTAAAATTGCTTTTGGAGCAATGAAAAGCCTGTCTCCATAGAAATTAGCCGTTGAGCTAAGAAAAAGAAAGTAGCGAGCCTATGCCAAGTTCCTTTTAATATAAAATGAGGAAAAAAAATTAATTAATACGAGAAGAGTGTCTGAAGTCATGTGAAAGGTTTCGTTTCTGTTCACTGCATACAACGTGGAAGTTCTCGTCAGTGTCAATTACTCGCTAATTATATTATCGGCTTTTTAACTAAGCACGCAGCAAATTTTCCCTCAACAATCCAAAAAGCTAAGTATTTCAAACTATCCCGTCTGTCTACTTTTGAACGTATGCAACCGTATATCCCTCCAGTGAGCAACAAACTCTCTTACCTTTGTTTTAAACATTTTTCTACTATTATTTTGTGTCAGATCATTTAATCTGTTGTATGAGCATCTCTTCTTCAGGACAATACGTTAAAACTACGGACTTTAAAAATTTCTGATTTGTTTTCCTAAATCGTAAATAAATTTCTTATCTTGTTTTGTTAAAATTACCCGTATGTTTTTCTACGTCATTAACATTCTCCATTAATCTTCTTGGCATGAGTAAATTAATTGTTCATTTTAACTCCTAAGACTCGTACCGCTATACGTTACATAATCATTTAATTTTGGAAAGTGAAAATTTCACTGAAATATGTTCGAGTATTTCCAAGTTTTCATCTGAAATCAAGAAAATACAAACTTTAAGCAAAATGGTCACAATGTATGGAAAAAAGAGGACGCCTTTTTAAACTGATACCAGGAGGATATACCTTAAATAAAAATAGAAATGGCTCTAAAGTGCGAGTTCGTCTTACAACGGACACAACGTCTTACAACATACACTTAATTTCAAACTGTACTCTAATTCTATTGCTGTGCTGGTGTCCGTTTTTACGTATATCCACCGTTACGAAAATAAAGACGTCATAATTGTGCGTGCGTAATTTTTATTGAATTAGCTTACCTATACTTCTTGGGACGGGATTTCTTAAAACAGTAAAAAAATTAGGTTGGAACAGATCATTTAACATTGTTGTTTTACATTGTTTGCTGACAGAATTCTACGGGTTAATTTGCAGTATAAGCACCAAAATCCCCCGGTATTGAGAATGTATCATTCTGGTGTGAAATTGCCTAATTATTTTGAAAATGACATTAAAATATTGCGCTCGATTACCGTTTAGAAGTTATGGACAATGTAAATTCTACTTCTTTCCCGTCGCGTACACAGAACGTCCGACATTACTGATTTGGTTTACATACGTTTGCCTCGAGGAGTCATATGGCGCGGAAGCTTCACTTGTCTTGATTACTGTGCAATGCGTGAAGATTGAAATGAATGCGCGAAAGAACGTAAAATCAGACAATTAAAATAAAATAATATAAAAGTTACGTGCCCGAAAAGTAAAAAAAAAAGGATTTTTCCTTCTTTTCAACGATGTTTTCTCTCTGTGTGTGCGTGCGTGTCTGTCTGTGTGTGTGTGTGTGTGTGGTGAAAGTTTCTTGAATTTAAAGCTTCATAAATTAAATTTTAGGGTGCGACTCTGTTTCATTAGCTATAAGCAGATTTATTAAGGACAATAAAGAAAAAATACGATTCATTTGAATTTTCATTTTAAAAAATAAGCGCATTTTAAAATAACACCCGCAGAAATCACGCAGTAATCAAGACCAGTAAGATACAAAAAGCTGTAAAAATGCCGTTAACTAAGTAAGCTTCCGCGCATTACTATAGAGGAAAATGTATGTAAACAACGACAGTAATAGTCAACGTGAAAGTGACCGAACTTACATTGATGAAAAATCGAAAACGGTAATCGAGTGCAATGTTTTAACGTCATTTTCAAAATAACCAGGCAATTTCACACCTAATACATTCTCAATACCGAGGTCTTTTGGTGCTTATGCTGCAAATTAACTGTTGGGGATGTGCAGAATTTATTAATTATGCTTGAAAGAATCAGAAGAAATTTGTGCTGGTTGCGTGACTTTCTGCATCCACAACAAATAAATAAACGAAATTTAAAATACGATGAAGAACAAGACATTCAATTAGAAACTAATGTAACTAACATTTATATACAATTCAAAACATTATACAAGCAGGATAATTGGTATATGTTATGCTGGAAAAATGTATATGATGTTTTAGATTTCAGAATGTCTCTCTTTGTAATCGTTCGTTCATTTGCAGTCCGTTTTAGATTTGTGTTGATATTAAAATTGTTAATATTATTAAGTGTTTTTTAGAAGGAGTTCTTAAGGAGTGATCTACCTTTGACTGTAATGTTTTTAAGGTCGTTCGCAAAATTGATGTTAATTAATAGGTAAAGTGAATATAATTCATTTTTAGATAAGCAATGTTTGAGAATCGATGTCCACAGAGTTGGTTGAAGTTTAATTGTAAGT